ATAGTGACAATGATGATGATGACGATGACCATGAAGATGGTGATGAAGATGAAGATGAAGATGAAGATAAAGATAAAGATGAAGATGAAGATGAAGATGAAGATGAAGATGAGAATGAAGATAATTGTAATAATAAAGATGAGGATGAAGATAAAGAAAATGATGATGTTGATGATAGTTATAATAGTAATGCCACAATGCTATAAAGACAATGAGTATGGTGATGAAGGTGAATATTATTAAGATTATGATGATGATTATAAAGATACAACTAACAACAATTATAAAACGAAGAATACTTACACCACAAAAGAGCCAACCAACCAAACAAACAGACAACAAAAAACAATAATAATTAACCAAACAAACAAACAGAAAAAAAAAAATAATTAACCAACCAAACAAACAGACAACAAAAAACAATAATAATAATAAACCAACCAAACAAACAGACAACAAAAAACAATAATAATAATCAACCAAACAAACAATCAGAACAAAAAACAAAAATAATAATCAACCTCATGCTCTTGCACACACGTATCTTTGCAACTAAGCACAATGAGCAAGGAGCGAGCATGAACGAGTACCACCGCCCTGTTCCACATAAATTGCAGTTCATGACGGAATATTCCCATTTTTCACACTTGGAGGAACCATAAGACTTATTTTGTATTTAAAATTCTTGCCTCCTTTCGCGCTGCGCTGAGAAGGAAGGAAAGGAGGAGAAGGAGAGAGAGAGGGAGATGGAAGGAAGGAAGGAGAAGGAGAAGGAGAAGGAGGGAGATGGAAGAAAAGAAGGAGAAGGAGAAGAAGGAGGAGGGTAGGAGGGAGATGGAAGAAAAGAAGGAGAAGGAGAAGGAGGAGGTGGGTAGGAGGGAGATGGAAGAAAAGAAGGAGAACGAGAAGAAGGAGGAGGGTAGGAGGGAGATGGAAGAAGGAGAAGGAGAAGGAGAAGGAGAGAGAGAGGGAGATGGAAGGAAAGAAGGAGAAGGAGGGAGAAGGAAGGAGAAGGGGAAGAAGAAGGAGAGGGGGGGGGGAGAGAAGGAAGGAAAGAAGGAGAAGGAGAAGGAGAGAGAGAGGGAGATGGAAGGAAAGAAGGAGAAGGAGAAGGAGAGAGAGAGGGAGATGGAAGGAAAGAAGGAGAAGGAGAAGGAGAGAAAAGGAAGGAAAGAAGGAGAAGGAGAAGGAGAGAGAAGGAAGGAAAGAAGGAGAAGGAGAAGGAGAGAGAAGGAAGGAAAGAAGGAGAAGGAGAAGGAGAGAAAAGGAAGGAAAGAAGGAGAAGGAGAAGGAGAGAGAAGGAAGGAAAGAAGGAGAAGGAGAAGGAGAGAGAAGGAAGGAAAGAAGGAGAGAGAAGGAAGGAAAGAAGGAGAAGGAGAAGGAGAGAGAAGGAAGGAAAGAAGGAGAAGGAGAAGGAGAGAGAAGGAAGGAAAGAAGGAGAAGGAGAAGGAGAGAGAAGGAAGGAAAGAAGGAGAAGGAGAAGGAGAGAGAAGGAAGGAAAGAAGGAGAAGGAGAAGGAGAGAGAAGGAAGGAAAGAAGGAGAAGGAGAAGGAGAGAAAAGGAAGGAAAGAAGGAGAAGGAGAAGGAGAGAAAAGGAAGGAAAGAAGGAGAAGGAGAAGGAGAGAGAAGGAAGGAAAGAAGGAGAAGGAGAAGGAGAGAGAAGGAAGGAAAGAAGGAGAAGGAGAAGGAGAGAAAGGGAAGGAAATAAGGAGAAGGAGAAGGAGGAGAAGGAGAAGGAGAAGGAGAAGGAGGATAGGAAGGAGATAGAGGAAGGGGGGGGGAGATAAGTAAGAGGGGGATAAGGAATGAATCTTGGTAGAAGTTGATAGATGGGGTGGATGGAGAAAGTGAAGGAGGATAAGAATTATGAGATAAACGGGAGGGAGGAGAGATTCGGTGAGGATGGGAGAGGAAGGAAATTGAAAGGAAGAAGGAAGACCTAGAAAAGAGGATGGAAATAAGGAAAGAAATGTGGATGAAACAACACATAATCGAGATTCGCGGAGAGACAAAGAGTAAGAAAGAAAAAAAAAATCTTAAAAAAAAAAAAAAAAAAAAAAAAAACACTTGCAATTAATCAAATCGGCGATCGGAGGAAAGATGCAAATATTGAAAATATCATGAATAATAACAGTAATTAAGAGTAAGTAGAAGCAAGAAGCGAGAGCTGGAGACTCCCCACCCCAACCCCACATCCCTTACCCCCATCCCCCCACACACCCCACCCCCACACCCCCACACACCTCCACCCTCCAGTCCCCCACGAACGTCCGCGGCGGCCAAGCGAGCCACAGGGAAAGCTCGCCTCCTTAAAGAGATAGACTTCCGTGATATATTATCTGCGAGGCTCAGCGTTATCCCTCTTAATCCTAGCAACGCCTCGACGTCTAGCGAGAAGTGGGTTGACTTCGGTGGAGGAAGTGAGGAGAAGAGAATGATGATGATGATGATGATGATGATAAGTAAGGTGAGGAAGAGATAAACAAATTATCAACTCCAC